GAAGCACTCGTTCCATGCGGCCGGTTATCCGCGACAGTCCGCGCGGATCGTCGATTTACGTCCTTGATATTGCCAACGCGACGAAAATTTATTCCGGGCCGCGGTGTCCGACACACGGCGGCATATACCATGCATGTAACACCGGAATGATAAAGCTCGATCACGACACACACGGAACGGCAGCGAAACGGCCGAAATTTCCATTACGCGGACGGGCGTTGGAAAACGATAAAATGGAATCTGTTTGTGGCGTTATTTCTGGGGGCTTATGAATTCTGCATAGCCCGCGGACGAGCCGCCGCATAGAGTAATCGTATTACAAATATATGTGTTAATCCTTTCGGGACAAACGTTTCGGGACAATCTCCTAAAGTAACGTTATAATGCATTTAGAAAGATTGCTGGATCGTTACGGTATTCCTGGGATTTATTGGAACGTGTTGATCTCATTACACACTTACGGCGTGCAAAAGCTTCTGATCAAACAGATTCTTTCTTTATTTTGGATTCTTTGTCTAAAATTATTTATCTTTATTTTTTATCCAACATTGTAATTCTAGCATCTAACATTATGTGAACATGTGTATTTATTATACTTTATTTACTCGTCGTACTTCTATACACATCTGGTATTGAAATGTGAAACGAAGAATCTGTCTGACTTCAAATTTCTTCAGCTCAGATAGTTTGTAATTTTAGACGCGTCTCGAAAGAATTATACTGTCTTCTTACCGATCAAGCGTCGCAACTGATTTAAATGTATAATTTTCGTTTTCAAAAACAGGTTAATTTCGGTGACGTCAGAATACCACGAAACTTCGACTACCCGAAACCACAAAAACTGGCAGCTTTGAACGGCGTACACGGAGTAAGCTCCGAACCAATCGTCGTCGTCGATGCCCAAACCCTCTTGATACCGAGCTTCAGCTACGATGGCGAGGCGCCTGGTAAGTTGCACAGAAAATCTCTGCTTTCCCCACTCATAAACAACTCCTATATGTGCCGGAACGTGCAAATATATTCTCAATATGCTTGCGACCAAATGCAAACAAGAAAACAAGAAAGTGATTGGCAAAACAATTTTTGAAAAATTAATACGTTAAATACGTCTTGAAAGCAATTTTTTTATCTTTTTCAACTTTCCTCCGTGAATGTGTCTATTTTGTACGTGCAAAATATTTACGTTCTTTTAGCGGATGTGAAAATTAGAGTATATATAGTATATACCAGATATGTCCAACTCGCTGTATTACCAGAATTAGAATAAGAATTATTATTATTATTTGAATAATTTTGACCATGAATATTTATGACGACCCTTTTCAGGAGTACTTACATTCGCGAACAGATTTCTTTTCTTATACGAAGCATACTAGAATTAAATATATTGCCACCTGTGAATCAAATCAAATATCGATGAACTGGTATCTAAAAAAACAAAAGCTCAGTGTTGTCATTAAAAATTTTCATACTTTTTTTAATTAATATAAATATATCTTTCTAATCGACGTATTGTTTAGGTATAAAAGTTGTTTCAATATCCTCGTAAATAATACCGGTTACATTAAACTGATGAAAAAAATAATGACAAATTTTTGTTGGCCAACGAGACCCAGAGGAACACCCATGGAATTAAGTTAAAGCATTTGACGATTTTCATAAACTTCTATCGACTCCCTAAGTTCCAAGTTCCTACTTGCAAGCTTTCTCCCAAGTTTTCGTCGAGGACGATCGACGACGAAAATTTCTCTTTTCTTTTTTTTTTTTT